TCCCTCCTCCCTACCCCCTTCTCTTCCTTGTTCCTGTTTCTTTGCAGAAAAAAATGTTTGCGTCAAACTGCCAGAGTAGAAAGACTGGTGATCCCATGCTTTCTGAAGAAAAAAAACATTCTCTCTCCTCGGCATTCTTTCTCAGTCCTTTAAAAACGTCAAGTCCTCTTCCCTTCACAAGTTAAAAGTAATTTTCTGATATGAAGTGTGTATTATTACATCCCCTCCCATCTTCTCCTCTTTTACCTCCCTCGCCAACCCCTCCTTTATCCTTCTGCAAAGCGAAATCGAAGTATGTGTCATTGTGAAAAATCCACGAAATTTTTTTGCCTTGATCGTAACTGGGCCAGTTCCTGAAAAAAATTAGCTAAATCCAAAGAAATTTTGAACTGGCCTTATAAAGCTTGCGGCCTTCATTCCTTTTCCAGTCCTTTTCTACCCAGTCTTCATTTAGTCCTCCAACACAATTCGTTATTGATAAAAATTTGCCAGAAAAGTGAATGAAGAAACTATAGGCAAAAAATTTGGAACCTTCTGTAAACTGCGTTAACTTAAGGCTTCAGCTGGAAGTAATGCAGTAATTTCTTCAAAAAATTTTCAATGTTTGATAATCAGCTTCCCCCTTGACATTCATTTCCATGTACTTGTAGATTGCTTTCTCCGCTCCCATCCCCTTTCCATAAGTTCTCTGCCACCCTTTCTCCTTCATTCTTCCGTTTGCAACAATGCCTTGTATGGAATCATGATATCATAACTTCTAGTGTCAGTATTTCTCATGCCCATTTCTATAGGAACTATAGGAGTAAAAAGTTGGAGTGCTGTTATCAATGGCAAAAGTAAAAGAAGGGTTGACATTGGTATTGTTCTGTTGGCAAGCGAGACACGTAGACGTATGACATAAAAGTGACGAAGATTAGATGTAGCAGATGTTCAGGGGCGTTGTTCGTTTACGATGTTCCTTGTTGAATCAATGATTTAATTCAATTCTAATCTGAAAAATGCTAAAATAAATCATTCTTAGTCAAAGCCAAAAAAAAATTTTGTTGAGCTCATAAGGCACAAAGAACCGTGAAGGCTGCAATTGGGCGCTAACAAAAGCTTTACATTTTAATTTAAAAGAAATTAATTTTGTTAGTTAGTCACCATTTTGCGCCTTTTGATTTTTTTTAATTTTCATAGAGTATTCACGTAACACTTCTTACTTAACTTGGTGAATTTTTGGGAAGTTTATCAGTTCCCAAAAATTTTATCGTGTAACACCTCTATGATAGGCAGAACCTCTTGCAAATTTAGAGACTCACTAGACAGAAATTCCAAAAAAATCACGCCTGGGTTTTTGCAGTTTGAAAAATAGATTGATGCCTCTTTCTACCCCCCCCCCCCCCACCTTTAGTTTTTTTCGCAAATCTCAACAAGCTTTTTTCTTGCTCTGTCTGATTACTGCGAAAAATTGTGCTTCCTCTTGCCTCTCCATCTTCTCTCAGCCTTCGCAATTTTTAAAAACTTTAACAGCTTTTTTTAGTGCAACTTTATTGATTCATAGAAAAGTCAGAATCGTAGAAAATTTTACCACTTTTTGCCTTTTTCTACGTTGTAATCTGCGTAAATACACATTGAGTATATTTGCAGGTCTTACTCATCTTTCCTTGAAGTCCAAGTCGAGATCAAGTAGGCAGACTGTAGTAAATAGATGGAATACATTTCAAAAAACAATATTTCTCAAGTTTGTTTGACCTTCACGCCTATGAATGAGCCGTTCTCCTTACAAAGCCCATTTAAGTGTGCCAGTGTGTTTACCGACAAAACGTCATGTTCTCGTTGTTAAATAGCGTCAAAGCGCATTGAAAGTGAACTGATTTGTCGGTCGAAAGGCGGTGATCGATGTGAACCCGAAGGTGATTGTGATTGTTCGTCTTTGGCATCGAAATCGAGTTCCGCCGCTGCTGTCGGTCGCTTTTCTCGCTCTGTCTCGAACTTATAAGCTGTTTGTTGCTTGGGCGCAGCAAACACGTACAACGCGCACGTACACAACTCTTTGTTCGACGCGACATGGTCGAGGCGCGCGCGACATCAAAAACTCATCGTTTTTCGATGTAATGACTTTTGTCTTCGTGAATGTGTGAAAATTACGAAAAATACGACCGCGCAGCAGCCCCGCCCAGCGTTTTTAGGTATTGTGGCGCTTGTTTCGCGCAGGTAACCGCTGGGTTAACTTTTTGCTCTTATGCTGACGCAAAGGCTACTCTGTACTAAGTGGCTAGTTACCTTGACCTTGGTGTTTTGAATTTTGCCTTCACTTATAATTACTTACACTTCACTGATGATAGTAATAGATTTATTAGATGTATGAAAAAAACCCCTAACTTTTTTTCGTTTCTGCCTTTAGAAATAGCAAAAACATTTGCAGATCTTTCGCGGAACTTTTCAATAAGGAAGGAAGGTGTTGAGTATTTAGAAGAAGTCTGATTTGGAAGTTATAGCATGTAATATTTTTTATGACCTTTTGAAAGACATTATTTTTGGTATTGTTTTTTTTTACAACGTGTTCTTGCCGAGATCAAGCGAGTATACCTTCAGTATTTCGAGAAACTATTTCTAAAGTTTTTTTTCAAATGTATAGCATGTAATTTCTCTTAGAAACTTTTGGAAAACATTAGTTTTTGGTATTGTTTTTTTTTTGAAACACCAACTTCATGCCGACGTCAAGTAGGCGTATTTCAAATAAATAGTCTTCAGTGAATACAAAATTTCACATTTCAAAAATACTCAATGTTGACCTTCATCCCCTGACATTCAACCATACTTTGGTAAATTTGAAAAACCACTTCTTCATATTGTAAACATATCAAAGTGTTTGTGGTGCACACAAATTTTTCAAGCCAAGGTCAGCAAGACCTTTTTTGATGCCAAACACCACAAACAGTCTGTTTTTTGTTGGTGGTTGAAAAAATTCACAGAATTTGACAAATAAAAGATGAACATCTGCGATGTTTTTTCTGGGGCGTTGCAATCCCTTTTCAAACTTGCATTATAAGGGTAATTATAAATAAAATTTTAAAAAATCAAGTATTTACTCATTGATCTATAAATAGTTCAGGAAGTTCACTGTGATGATCTTTTGCATCATCCCTGAATTTATGCAATATTTCGTAATTCAGTACACGATACAAATGCGACGTGATTACTCTAGAAACAAAAAATCTTTTCGGGGTCTGATATGCATGCAGCCTTGAGCCTTGCAGCTTTGAAAAACTCCTTCTATTTTAGTGCCGAAATTCTGTAATCTTCACGGTATAAGCTTTGAACTCGAAAGTGATTTTTGAGTTAGCCTTTGACCCCCTCGCGGTTTCTTTGGTAGCAAAAATTTCACTTTTATACGAACCAAAACATGGCCAAAATGACCTCATCCTCTCCTCCACTCACTTTCTGGATTCGATTCAGGATTATGCAAATAATTCTGTATGTTTAGTCATTGTACGTACTATTATGTACTCTGGCAACTAGTCATTCTTCTCTTTATTTATTTAATTTCTTTAATCCCGAAGAACTCCATGTTCCGCTATGCTTATTTATTTACATTTTCTCCCGCTAGTCTCGAGCGGTAAGAGGATGGCCCATAAGTACTGAAGTACGTGTAGGATTCTCAGCAGAATATTTGCAGCAAAAATTCTTTTGTTACTAATTTTACTCGAGTCCGGACTTACTTCTTGCTTGGCGGCAACCGGTCGTTACAGCATTTTCAACTGGCTACTAAACGAGTTGAAAAAGTGTAACTCAATCAACGGCTGCTGCGCGAGCGCGACAAAAACATGATCTCGTAAATTTTCAAAAATCTCAGTAACTCAAAGTGGAACGCGTTTTGAAATGTACATTTTGTTTTTCTACAGCAGGCGATTTCCCGCTATGGAATACTCACTTTTTCGTCTGCTTAGCACTTTTTACGAGTAACCGGTTATTGCATTGTAACGTTTGGGTGGAAACTGCATGCCACTTGGAGCTTGTGCTGACCGCTGGAGGCTCCTTACAGAGTCTATTCTGCTATTTGACTTATTTCAATATTTAAGAGTATTTCAGTACTTTCTAGGTCTACATATTAGTTTGAGTTGATACAGTCTAAGACATATAGGTTGAAAATATCATTGGATTAATTAAAAATTATTAGCATTTTAATTCATAGTTTTAATTTCAATGATAAAAGGCCGATTCATAGTTTTAATTTCAATGATACACTACCGCTCACTTTATCAAACAAATTTTTTTTAGGATTTTCCCTGCACTTTTTTATCGTTTTCTTGACACAAGAATAGGCTGAGAAATATTCCAAATATTTCTTCACTGTAGTCTTGTTGACCAGACAGCGATGACAATTCAATTTCCCCTGTTTTTTGCTGTCAAAATCAATCTCATCTTTCTTTTGTTCCTTTAATTAACTTCACTTCATTCTTGGTTCTTTCAATGATGTTTGAATCTGTTTATACATCAATGATGATTCTGTTGTTCATAACACATAGTAGCTAACTATGTCCTGAACATCAAAGATCAATCATAGAACAGTAATTTCTAAGGTCTTTCTTGGGCCCTACCTTTCGATTTCCCAGCGTTACCTAAAAATTGAGGTAGCTATAAACAAGAATAACAAATTTTTTACGGTATTGACAAATTCTTCCGTAGGTAGAAATAGAAGAAATCTACTCCAAAAATTTTCGAAAAAAACACATTTTTTCATTTCGCTCTGCTTTTTCATGCCATTGTTGGGCAGATTTTTTTCTGTATTGTCAAATAGCAATTTAATACATTTTAGTATTTTTTTGAGATTTTGCTCAGGTCACGCCCTTTTTCTTTAGCAGTTTTTTCCATACCACGTTCCTTCTTCTTCCATCATACTCACGAAACTTTGATATACTAACGTTTTTTGTTTTGTACTCTCTCAGTCGACCTGCGCTCGTGACTACTTTTAACGATTATATTTTATTACTGTGACCAATTATTCGTTCCCTTACAGACATGCTACTAGCGCTTTTTGCGCTTGTACATACAGCATCTGCTGCGGTGTCTTCGTTCAACTATGTGCCCATGGGCAGCAATCCGACACTCTATACGCCCGGCTTTGAGCCGATAATGCATCTCGATCAGCACACGTTCGCCGATACGGTCTATGGCCAGGATCGCGCTTTTCTCATCGAATTTTACGCCGACTGGTATGTGTCAGAGAGTTTTTTCCCGCGTCACATATCTTTCTTTATGATCTTGCCGATGGGAAGATGAGCGCATTGCAGAGCGCCAATTATTGTCGTTATAGTATGAGCCGGGGTTATATTATTCGTAGCTCAATCAGGACCGGATTTGAGGCCCATAAAATTCACATTCTCAAAGAAATACAAAAAAGTGAGTTGAATGGAAAATGGAAGATAGACCGGAAAAGGATGTATTTATCGACTATTTATTTATTTTATTCATCTAATCATTATTTATTCATTTATCTTATACACTCAACGGTGTATCAAAACTAAAAAGAAGGAAGACCTCAAACAGTCGCAATATTATTTTAATATACCACTTTTAGAGACATAAAAATAAATAATTTTAAGATAAAGCTACATAATCACTAAGATGTAATTATGACACCTCAAAATAGTCTTCGTCTGCTTAATTAAAATACAGAAGCTAAAATCGTCTAAAGGATTCTTGAAAGATGTATAGAAGTCTATGGTGCAGTTGCACAGCCTATATCAGATTCGGGCCAAAAACACGATAATACCGAAGGGGAAGCTAACTATCTTACTGAGGAACAAAATAGGTAAGAATGCAAAAATGCATTTTTTCCTTGTCCGCTAATTAAGGGAAAATTACGAGGAAAGAGTCATTGGTAACTTTACATGCGTATTGCACATCATGCGCGCTAGTTAACGGCTTGAAGAAAATCTGCTCATTTCCAAGGAATTCTTCCTGTTTATTTGTCTATTTATTTGTATATCTGTCTGATTGGATACGTATTTGTTGGTAGTACACATTTATATAGTTTGTTGTGCGAGAAAGTTTTTACTGAGGAGTTACTGGTAAGAATGCCGCGCGAGTGTGCGGAGTCCAATAAGTTATGACTCAAGGATGAAAAACCTTTTCTAAGAAAATATAATAACATCTAACAATATTTACTTTTCAGGTGTGGTCATTGTCGTGCATTTGCACCACATTTCCGACAATTTGCCATTATGGTGAAAGACTGGAATCCGATCGTTACGGTAGCTGTCATCAACTGTGCTGATGCATTTAATGCCCAAGTTTGTCGTGACAATGGCATTGCATATTATCCTATGCTTAGGGTAGGTCCTTTCACCTTTACAAGCTTTGATACGTGTAAATACGGACATTCACCTGTGCTCATTGCGTTTCACGGTCTGCAAAAAAGCTGCAATATTTGCAAACGCGCGCTCACTACTCGGCCGGTCAATAGCTGGTGATCCGCGTCCGCGTTCGTCGCGCTCATCATGTTGTATGTTGAGAGTATTCTCGGAAGAACACGCCGAGCACAAATAGAGTGTCTAGCGAATAACGCAAACAATGCCACCGATCTGCCTCAAACTTTTGCACATGGTGAAGAAAGTTGGGAAAATTTGGGCAAAAACTCGAAAGTTTCGTCGGAGAAAGATTTGTTGGCATACCAGTGCCAATTTTATCTATATTAATGATAACTAACTTCAATTACAGTACTTCCCTCGCACGGCCCGAGCGGCAAGTCAAGCTAGGAGCATGGAAACACCGCATTCATCGGATGCAATGAGGGACGCATTGATGAGAATGATTGCCAATGAGTACTCGATGGCTAGATACCCAGATTGGCCCAACTTGGCTCATATTTATGTTGATGGGTATGTGAAAGAGATAAGAGTAAACTGTGAGAAATTTGGGTCTCAAAATGGTGATTTTCAGACGAACTACATACGGACAGCTATATGATGGTATCCCTGAATCAGCTGATTATTTGGCTATTATTTTTGAAGAATACGACGGCGTGGGAGTGCAGGTGAGGGCAAAAATTTGTAAAAAATGCTATCGCGGTTTCCTCTGTTAGGTGAAGTTGTGTGCAAATAATGTAGATAAGCATAGATTATTAACAAAAAAAATTTCTCAAATCGCTCCAATTCTTAGAATATTAAAAAATCAAACATTGACACGCGTTTTGAAACTATTCAACTTCAACGCGCACATGACGTGATTGCGGACCTAGCCTGCGTCCACAAAGCGCGAAAAGGGTCAAATGTCAGGCATAAAAGTTCAAAACGATTCAAGCATCAGAATAGAAACATGCCAAAAGAAATTATCAGCATGTTCAGACAAAAAACGCTCTTGCCTCCTGAAAACTGTGCTTGCAGTGTAAATGCACACTTTGCATGATTCCTGTACTCTCAAAATTAACTACGTATAAACACAGTACTCTTACTAAATTAAAAAAAAAATTTGTTTTCTGCGATAACGAATATTTTAGGTGTTTTTCATGAGAAGATGACAAGTCGCCAATATTCAAAGCAAGTTTCTTCTAAAAGAGGGAATTTCTCTCAAAAACTGCCTCCCTCCATTTTTCCAAGCACAAAAAAACCTGTTTGTCGAAAAGCCCATCGTATCTACCTGATCTTGGTTGAACTTTCCTTTGTCCTTGGTGTAGTGAACTTTTCGCACATCTCCGTCAAAAATGGTTTCCCGAACCATAATTGCTGCCCGATGCGACATTTAGGTTTTCGCAAAACAGCTCGTCACATAGAAGTTAATCCGGGGATAATTATGGTGCTGAGCGCATGAGTGCGCGAAGATAGACCCCCAAAAACAGCGAGGGAAGTGTAATCAATATGGGAGTTTTCAGTTCATTCTGGATTTGTCTTCACGACGACGTATGGTCGGAGCCAGAAGGGCGCTATCAACCTCGCCATTGGTGCAGATGCTTAGAATCACTCAATTCCCGACGGTCGCTCTGTTTAGGCGTGACCATCAACAAGCACTTTATTTGCAAATGTTAGTTAATTTTCAAATCCCAAAGCTACCATATAGGCTAGTAAATCTGACAGCAAATAAAGTGTTCTTGCGGTGTCGACGTTTGCCGGCAACATTTGCGCGTGAAGAATTGCTACGCTTAAAATGCTGGCCATTTGCGCGCGCAAAATACTCTTTTGCCCCTCTTGGCAATTTGTTTACGCGCAAGTGTTGTCGACAAATATCGGCACCGGCAAGAACATCATAATTAATGTCAGATCTGCCAAATCGAAAGTAGGGATTGTACTTTGGCGATTTACCTCATTTAGGTTCACCAATCGCACTTACATTGATCTCGACAACATTATTATGAACGATGCCCGACAATCTCATGCCTTCACATTACCTCCAATTACCCTTACCACCACCATGCGTCCAACAACTACTACCGCGTTACCACTCGTCGATTGCAATAGATTCCCGGACAGGTACTTTTAATCCTTTTGTATCGTCAAACTGATTATAATGGTTGGCAAAAGGAAAAGGGATTGACTAGGGAGAAACACTTTGAAGGGGAATAATGGAAGAAACAATTTAGCAGGATTTGTTTCCTAAAACATCTTCGGGAACAATGTTACTCCCACATCACATCAGGAACGAACCATCTTCTAAAAAATCAGAGAAAATAATTTGATCTTTGAAAACACCCTTAGCGAAGATGTTGTAGTAATCATAACCTTTGATTCAACAGCCTTGGCGGCAGGAAGGCGGGCATTGTGACCCAATTAAGGCCGCTCGCGCCCGCGACACAGTCTGCGTCTCTCCGCGCGTGCTCTCTATCATTACCCAGCCTTGATTAGGTCACGAAGCCCCGTCTTCCAGCCGTCAAGCCAGTTGTATCAAAGGGTACAAGTGCTTGCCAGTAAGAGACTTTTGCTGTTGATACTGGAGTCGTAAAAGCATATGATTTACAAGATTTTTCGTTTTTTGTGGCGGAAAAAAAATTAATCCTCAAATATTTTTCCAGATGCCGTGAAATGTTCTATGTCTCCGAAACGGATATGCTCAAAGCAATGCGTATAGCTTTATACGATGAGGTGGTACGAACTCCAGGTTATATTCAAGGAGAGAACTTCACTGGCCTTTCCAATTTTATCACATTACTTTCCAATGTAAGTCTTGGGGTTTTTAGACTTTACGATATATCGTAACTACAATACTGTATTCCAGCATTTCCCTGTACTTTCATTTTCGAACGACATTCGACGATCAAAACGAGCGACTTCCACGGTTAGCACATTCTTCGCTAACCACCATAAATCTATGATGATTATTCTAGATACTCAAAAACAGTGAACGTGCCCGACTTGTTTTCATTCACATGAGGGAATATCTCGAGACGAGACGTCACCGTAGAATGATATCTGTGGACGACTATAAGAGACAGTTTGAAAGCGTGGAGGTCAGTGAATTGTCATAACCATAGGATCCCACAGCATTCTCAGGTTTTTTAAATAAAATTCCTTTTTTAGCGTGTATACGCAAATCCATTCCCAGTGAATTCTTCATGGCAACACTGTAAAGGAACTACACCGATGTTCAGGTAAGAACTATCTCACCGGAGTCAATCTATTACTTCAAAAATTCGTGTCCATCGAGTAGAAAATTGAACTGTACTTTCATTCCTTCCCCTCCTCATACTGTTTCTTGAAATTACCGCGGCGATTTCGCTCATGTCATTTAAGAGTTTTTAATCTGACTTGTCAGTGTACCAGAACCCAATTTTTAGAACCCCTAACGTCCAAGGTAGGAAGAATGCTTTAGGTGGGTAAAGAGTTGAAAAAATATTATTTGTATTTCGTAGGTTTGAAGGAAAGCCTATCGCTTTTTTTCAATTTTTGCCCCTTTCTTGGGCTAGCTTTCATCAAACCCTCATTCCAGAGGTTACACATGTGGACTGTGGACAACCTTCCATGCGCTTACAGTACATACGTACATAGATACGATAAAGGACACCAATGTGAACCCCTTGATGCCGCTCAAGGGTATTCAGGTTGGTAAACATACCAATCTAGACTCAAAGTGAAAGAAGTACCATTCATCGTTTCAGGGATGGGTCAAAGGATTCTTTGGCTGTAATCATTGTAAGAAGCACTTCATGAACATGACGACGAACATATTTCCAATGACTGAGCGTAGAGTAAGTTTTCTTCATGGAAGTGGGACGGCAAAATGGACTCTCGTCAGATCGTGGTACTGATAGGTTGTAGACACTTCGAGAACACCATAACCAAACCCTTTTACACCATGAGTCAGTTTCTCAAAGCGTGCGTCGAAATTTCACCGTCTGGCCAATTTTCGGTTAGAAGGCATTAGAGGTGGAATATTCAGCACTTTTCTGGAGTTAATACACGGATTGGAGAATGGAAGGGCTATGATGCCCTTAGAGGGTCTAATCTCGAACCAGAATCTGACAAGAATTCAAGCTGCCGAGCTTTCGCCCTCAAGATCTTTAGTATGCGAATTCTCACTTTTACTACTTAGGTGAGACATGCCCATGATATGATGACATATCTGTGGAGGGCACATAACATCGTGAACAATCGTTTACATGGTGATCCTACTGAGGACCCACAATTTACGAAGCTGCAGTTCCCACCACCATTCTTGTGCCCTACTTGCCACTCAGGCGGACAATTCAGTAGACGACAGGTATATTTTACTTCAAGTCTAAGGAGCACCCTTGCAGATGTAAAATCTTTTTTTTTTCAGGTGCGCAACTTCCTTCTGAGATATTATGGCAGCATCAAGCCACACAATCGTCTGGCTGATCGTCGTCTTGCTTTCTTCTAAGCAGAAAAAAGTTCTGGAGCATAGGAGAAAGGTCCCACTAGTCTGATACATTATGTATCCAGCTATGTACTGTATATAGTTCGTCCACTCACTTGAAAGTTGGCCTGTGGAGTGATGGACCCTCCATGTCACTGCCTAAGCATTCACTTTTGGATATCTCCACAAATTGCTGCCTAGCTTGCATACTGCATCTGATTCTTTTCTAATCAGAGCTCTGTTCTTAACAGTATTTCTCAGCTCGTCCCCAAGCAAATCCCACACTTCTACAGACAGCCAACGGCTCCTTCTCAGGTGCTCTATAGAGCTCTAGAATTATAATTCTATCAAGTATGTATAGCAGCATACCGTATCCGGCATTTCTGACACTTCCGTTCAGTGCTTTGAGATACACATATATGTACTCTTGACGGGTTCTTTGCTTACTGTACATTTCTATGACATCACTTTTTGTGGTGGGTATATGTGTTTATTGCATGTTTATACCATTGCTTATATCAGACGCAATCATATTATTTTTCGTGGGTATTTTGCATAGTTTCATCTTTTTTTTTGCTTTGCAAGTCGCAATATTACAGATATATGTATCATATGTTTATTTGTTCTTAATGAAGAATCATAAATACTCGTGAATCATTCAGTCAAACTGCACAACACCGGAAATGACCATACCACAGACTATACCAGACTACAAATTCTCCCTAAACGAAGCGACTTTCTCCCTACATTTTCGAAAGCAAGCCAGTGTCTGGAGCCAATTCTAGAATCAGTTTCTGTACATCCTTGAACTTGGGGTGGGAAGCATCTTGAACAAGTCCAAGCAGAACGCATTCAGATGTGGTCAGCACTGCTCCAGCTCTGTCCATTTGTTTGAATGCATATTTTCTGGAAGAAATAAACTGATTAAGTTACTTCCCAGTACCATCAAATCTCACATGAAACCATTGTGGATATTAGGCTAGACGGTCGTTGTCAGAAAGAGGGTACTTATAAATATTGATACTATAGCAAGGACCATACCATGCGAAAAACCAACGATTGCTTTGTGAAAAAAAGCGAGCTGAAAGTTTTTTTAAAGCAAATATATAGACAGGAGCAAAAATCAAAGTGTCTGAGCCTGATATGTCTTCGCTTGTTGTGGAGACCCAATCCGATGTTCTCAAAACATCTTAGGCACATCAGAATTAGGCACATCGGAATTCATATTCTTGGAAGCTAGTAACAAAAACTAACAAGTCCTCACTAACAAGGGAAGGAAAGTTAGTCAAAGTGACCTTTCTGTATGAGATGTATACTGACTTAAAGAGTACTCAACGCTGATTTTATTATCTTTCTTATTTGCCGCGGATATCTGAGCAAGGAATTTTGAAGGATTTTATGGGCAAAAAAACTTCAGTGGAAACAGCGTAAAATCAATCGTTAATATTTCTTAGCGTTCCAAAATGGCAGACTTAAGTGGATCTGTTTAAATTAAGAATATTTGTTGCACAGAGTAACTTTGAAATCATTCGAGCCGTAAAAAAAAGTTACGACTGGTTTTATCCCAGCTGCAATGCAGATTTTTGCTCATAAAAACATTCGTAATTCTCATCTAGAAACCTGAAGCTGAAAAGGAAGGTAGATTCGGAATCAGCGTTTCACACATCCTTCAAGCCAGTACCCATTTCATGTTAAAAGACCACTTCGACTAACCTTCCTTTCCTTGTAAGTATCGAATTCCCTCTTTTCTCCTGTCCCTTTGCCCAGATTTGAAAATGAAAAGCACAACTTCACATACAAAATCTACATCTTCGCTCAGCATTGCCGCTCGAGATATGTTGTGTATTTCAAACAACCTTGTTTTCCAATCTTGTTTTCTTTCAACGATAGAGAATTCAAAAACAGCTCCGTCATTTTCACATCCACTCGTCTAACGACAAAAGAGCATACAAGAATATAAACAGTTTTTCTCAAAAAGTCATCAGTCAAACTCTCTGATCTTGTTTGCTGGCAAATAAATGACGAGTTCGCCGTAAGATCATTAAGTTGTTACCAGTCGAAGATCGGTGTTCAGCTGAGAGCGATATCAAGAGGAAGACGTCGCAAACATTAGCTATGCTGCCGGCTGGCAAACACTAAAACCATCAACTTTCTCGAGACTTGTTGCTCCCAAAGAATTCGGCAAATCAAACATAAAGGAAGCTGCAAGTCACACTTACACAAACATTAATTCCTTCAAAGCGCCAACTTGTGGCATATACAGCAAGCTTTAACTGCCGATAAACCGGAAAAATACTCAGAAAAATTCGTTTAAAACAAGAAAGAAAACCAAACTGTGAATTTGCAATTTCTAGAAAGTGTAGAAAAACAGATAACTGGAAGAAAAAAGTCTGAATTCCGAAATATCGAAAAGTGAAAAAATTAAGTCAATTTCAACTGACTGCTACTTTCTATTTGAAAGTGAACTTAGACAAAATTTTGCGCTATTCAGAAAAACCATTACCTCTTCATTGAAACATTTTTTTTCATATGTACAACATTGCAGCACCGATAACAGGTTTTCTTACACCAATGCTGTAACAATTTTCCTCGTACCAACTTCTTCTACTAGTTGCTGCTATATGACAAAAATAAAAGGAACATCTGCCTCGTTTATGGAGGCATCTCACATTTTCGTAACTACAAAAACTATGGTGTTTGTGAAAACAAACTGGGATATGCTATGCTTCTCTGTATGGGACAAACAAATTCTGTAAACAAACAAACTCAACTATTGTTTACAACCTAGTATTTACTCCGCAACTGATTGCGATTATTCTTTTCAGAAGAAAAAAAATCAACAAACAATGCTTCTTGCTAAGCTCCACGTTTGATGGCACTCACCACTCACCTACGCAAACATCAGAGAGCGCGCATCGCAAAGCAAACAGCTAATTAACACTCAACGCTAAGTATTCGACAAAACTTTGGCTAAGTAACATCGGCGTGAGCCGGCGCCTATCCGGCGCCATTTAGGCGGCTATGTGAGCAAACAGAGACGACTGCAAGGCTCCATCGGAGGCACCGCAGATGCACATCAAAGAGATGATAGGAGTTTATTAGTAGTAGCATCATAGGGAGATTGCAAAATCATTACATTCAACACTCAGGGTTTCTCCAAAGTTCAGCGTTGGAATGGCATTGTCTTACAAACCCCTGTAAGCTTCCATTCAATGAATTATATCGTCACGGAGGCCTACTGTAGCGGTAAAAACTACCAACTCTTTGTTCAGATAAGGAATTGGTGAATTCTGAAGGACTTGCAGCGTTGTCGCTTCGTTAGAGAAAAAATTTCTTACTGAAACGATACATTTTGCAACAGAAAACGTAACAAAATGCGAATTGAATTCAGTGCCGAAAAGAGTTTGTTCCCTGATCCCCCACAATTCACCTTCGTATACCAGTCCAATCTCTTTGGGTTTCACTTACTTTCATTTTGGACCTTGATTTGATCACTTTCGAGCAAAGCTACGTGATTGAAAGAAATGAATCTTGAACGGATAGATATCATTTAGACCCAAAACCTCACCCATCTCTTGATCCTGGTAGCACGAGAGGATACTGACAACTATAGCATTTATGGAATAACTTTATGGCTAGCAATTGTTCTGTTAACAAGCGTCAATAAAAGTCCCTTAAATCCACAGTCACCCCTCCCCCCCCCCCCCTTCGACAAGAGTGCAACTGCAACTTGGGCCCCTCCCAGACAAGCTGGCACCTTTACCTCATCAAAGACGTTCGCCATACCACGAAAAGGGTGAATATTTGATTTTCATTCAAATGGAATAATGCTTCATTTGAGTCTAATAGCCCGGGATAATCATTGTTAATATCGATGTAAGCCAGAACAACTGGAAAAAAAGCAAAAAAAGCAATAGCAACAGCAAGCAAAAAAAACACCTGTCACCTGGATCCGAGAAGATCTGAGCAAACACTGACAGCCAATGAGTACGTGTAAGAGACAAAATAAATGACCCTTGTCCAATATATAAGCTGCAGTGTTCCCCCAAAAGATGATGAATGTCTGGTAATCTCCTGCCGCTCATATGGACGGTCTTTCCTTTCGTTTCAATGCATAGATTATCCAACAATAATAATTGTTTACGGAGAAATAATAACCAAAATATCCCTAGGTTCAGGCAGCGTTAGTTGTCGGCAAGTCCCATTTTCGTTTTTTGTCGCGTAAACTGATAGTCCATCTTCGGCTCGCAGTCCATCTATCATTCCATTCCAGTAAAGCAATTTTTTTACTGTTCTATGTGCAGTTAGAGAAGTACAGTTTGATTATGGTGCTTACCAAGGTAGTTCGGACAGAAAATCATATGGAAGGTAGTTAGACGATAGGAACAATAGCTCGGCAAATTACTGGCATTGGCTCTAACTCAGCCTTCAATGTATCACTCCAAATTTGCGAATCACATCTCCTCTTTTGGAAAGAGAGAGGGTCGCGAGAATGGTCACCCGACCAATTTCTACTCAGATGGGTGAAGTACTAGTACACGATTCTCTCAGATGAAAAATGATTTGGCGCTACTCGCTTAATGGGCTTTTGCGTCAGCCTACCAATTAACCATATCCAAACATATGAAAATAAGAGGACTTTCGAAGCATCTGAAGAGAACGCACAGTCTGAGTACTGAGGGCATTGAGCTCACAAGCACAAGTGAAAGCAGATATGCAAGATGAAGAGATGGCTACAGTGAAATCCTTCATGTTGAATGTTCAGTGAGAATGAAGCATCAGCTACATGAACATTCCAGAGAAATACAGTTTTTTCCACGACAAAACCAGCAAAGCGGCTGCGTTCATACTGATTTGGAAGTTCGAGAACAGTTACAGCACAGCTTTCGAAATGAGCGCTGTGGTGGAACTGTTTCCGATTGTTCGGATCAGTAGCATCCATAAATGGCAAGCAGAAGTATCGCCTAAATAGTGCCCACGATATGATGTCTTACAACATACGAAAACCATTATCTTACGGAGTTGGCTTACCTAATGTTGCACCCACGGAAACCTGAGAAAATATTGTTTGAAAACATTTCTCCTAGCGCTGCGTTATTTTGCTGAATGTATAGACTACCCGAACTCAAAGGAAAAAAGCCTTCGAGCCTGTTATAGAACGTGCAAGATGTTTCCGGGTTCTCCCTAGCTAGAATGGACGATATTCTTTCATTGCCATTTAGATCTTATAAAGATAACAATTCATGGCAGGAGATAATATGGAACGAAAGTATATCTGAGAAAGGGATGGTGCCCTTGAACTCTCACCTCAAACAGCAATGCTCCATTTTAAAGTCTCAAATAAACACGTGAAATGTGTATGTTGACTACAGCTGTCAAATCGTATCATTACAGACACAAGGTGTAAGAAACCAAGTTTTCGAAAAGAGAATCTTGCGATCGTTTCACCTCTATGCAAAAAGCCAAGGCTTAATAAAGCTTTTCAGGTTGTCGATGAAAGAATTATGAATTAAACTTCATGCTTCAAAACTTCACGCTGGAAAAGGGAAAGTGATTTGATACGGCTTTCCCTGGGTTAGCTCAAGACCGACTATGCTGCGTACTACTCAGGCTTGGTGGTAACAGCAATATCTTTCACTTCAAGGCTCATAACCTGAAAACAAGAAGGAAAAGAAGAGAAAAAGTGGAACCACAGAGTAGGCAGGCAACAAAGCAACAGAGCAACAAGTAACAGTGAGAAACTTATCACAATTCTTGCTAGAACAGAAGGGGTATCAAACCCGCAGTTGAGAATACGGTCTGTAAAGAACAATGACTTTTGCACCCGTGCGCGGCACTTTGATGAGCAGAACCAAAACGCAGATAAGGCACACATGCGTGGAAAAACTAATCGAAAAAGCGATGACATGAAATTAGATGGATCTAATTAAATCAACTTTCGCGTGAAAAAAAGTGTTCTGGACATAATTGTCATGAAGAGCGTAATATGCAAAAGAACACAAAAAAAACAATAAGATAGTGGTAGCAACTGACCTGTCAGTGAGCGATCGCGAACTCACGCCATCCACGACAACATGGACATTTTTTCCTTTCTCCAGCAAATCTAGAGCAGTATGGAGAACGCAAACGTGTGCTTCAATCCCAACCAGTACAATATTGTCCCTGTCCAGGGCAGAAGTAATATCAGGAAGACACATCGAGAACTGAAAGTGGAAAAGTTTCGCACACAGCTATGGGCCAGAAAAATTGATTTTCAGATGAGTCTTTCATGACATTAACTTCTATTATAAGCAACTTATCATCCAAAACATTTACTCTGAGCATTAATAATCTACATTAATAATCTATAATCTAAGCCTTTTTCGCCTCTTCTCTGTTTCTTGATTCTAACAAATTTTTGCATGAAAAAAGTTGTAAATGTGACAGTTCTATTTAGCAAATTTCTCAGGCTCCCCAATTGTTATTTGAAACAATCCATCTGAACAAATGCACTGAACGAGCGAAAAAAATGCCACATAAAAACATACACAAACACCAAAAAAGCTATTCACCTTTATATAGACATAAAATAAACTCGAAAAGACTAAAGACTGAAGAAAGGTTGAAAGAACTACGAAAGATAGGATAAGCGTACCCTAGTTTTCTCGTGCTTCTTGACATCCTGAAGCCCCAACTCAGGCACGGTATGACCAAGCCCTTTCGGGTACTGCTCAGTCACAAATATCGGGATGTTAAGAATTTTAGCACCATCTACCAAACGCTTCGATGTTGTGATAATCTCAGGGAAGTATTGAATGCTCCTGCTGCAAAGTAGGACTTGCTTGGAACAAAATATCAAACTTTGCAGAAACTCACCTGAATTTCTCCTGCAAATCGCACACGAATAGAGCTGTATTTTTGGGCGTAAGTCGACTGAGCACACGAGCTGCCATTCTAAAAAGGAAACATTTTGAGCAGTATCCAAAACCGGTCATACTCAAAGCAAAAAAGTGAGTTGAACCAGAAAGAAAGAGTTCACCAACTTTCGCTCATCAGTCGAACCAGACATTCCAAGTCTGGTATGCTCTTCTTCAGCCATTGTAGCGGGCAAGCAGCTAGGGAACAATTAGTGAAGAGGCTGGTTAGCGGTTGAGCAGGACACTATTCTTCGTCATTGCTGATAAAGGTAATGCTGACCGGCAACTCCGTTATCAATGATTAGAATTTCGTGCCCGCTACAATTGTGAAAAAGGGCGACAACAGGCGGCGAGCACTGATAAAGAATGTTAATAGTCTTTAGATCATCGGCGCAGAGAGGGAAACTTTTGAGCATCAAATATCTGGCCTTCTTTTCCATCAGGCAAAAATCCTACAAGCTCAAAATAATTCGGATATCCCCAGAAATAATCAAGAAATGAGATCGCATTTTGTAAATGATGATTCTCGTCCTCTGTTTCGAACTTCGGCTTGCAACTATCGTTGAATCAATTTGATTTCCAGAGGGATTCAATATCGATTCAAGATGGAAATTTGAACCTAAAAAGTGGAAAAAGATGACTACATAGTTAGGCAGGATTCACACGAATGATCAATTCACAGAAGCTGTCTTCTGCGGCAAGATCTCCCCATGGAGCGCGTTTTTGCTCAAGTACATAGTATGCCGTGACTATATTTGCATGATAAAAAGAGAAATGATGTCTTGAAATCCAACATGCAACAGAAGCCTACAATATCGAAACTTTGACGGACATAGGGCCTTGACTGATCGTGAAAGTAGATGTGACCGCGGCCATTGCGCACGCATTACGCCAATGGAACCTTCCACTCTGTACAGCTTCCTTTCTCCTGTCAAATGCTTTTTTGGCCTGACATTCGTTACCCTATTTAAGCGATTTCGAGAAGTAAGGTGACCGCTCCAACAGCTGAGATGCTCAACTAAAAGATGATGTGAAGGCAGATAAAAACTAGAAGAGCTTGAATGATGTCGCAAAAACTGATATGGAAAGCATGGAGGAGCATCTATCAAACTTGAGCGTCATAGCAGCATTAACGCGCGGACCGGTGCTGCACATGGTGCAGCACGCTGCTTTAAAGGATCTTTTTTGCAGTTTACAGGAAGTTTCCTTTCAACTAGTGAACAGTAATCTAAAGATGCTATTTGGAAGAGCGTTCGCTTCGAGGCCGCCAGGCGGTTTCCCGCTATTTGCACATTTTGAATTGCGCTTACGTTTCTTTATATATTAGAATTAGATCTAAGATTATCAAGTCAAAGGCCTAAGCTTCCATTTTCCAAATGACTCTGTGGAGCTGTGCCGCCACTATCTGTTTAGGAGATATGAGGACAAATCGAACAAGAGTTGCAATAGTTTCATTGATGATGTGTAACTTGTGCAACACAGATATATACTCGGATACTATTAGAAAGTGTTTTTGTTCCTATGTTTCAAAAAAGCACCGATGTCCTTCTCAATCGGAAAAACTCAAATACTTTGAATCTACTCAGAACTTAGGCTACGGAGCTTATCTGACATGCTGATTACAGATGTAGCGCACAGTCTACGAAATAAGCTTTCTTTGTTTACTAACCGCTGAAACACTCTAATTCGCCGGCGCGATTTCGCTGTCCGAAACGTGTTAATAAGAAAGCACTATAAATCTCAGACATTCGCCATTGACTCCCACAGAACAAAACGAGGTATAGTCATGAAATGCCTGCGCGACCCACCAAACCGGTGTCGGATTAGGACACTTGATTTTGTTTCGGGTCAAAATTGCGCGACAAAATCAGGTGTCCCGATAGAAATCGGAACGCCTGCGGAAGACACCATAAGGTCATAATGTCCCGATTCAGTTCAAAACTTACGGCCTACGCTCTTATAAACGGATTTTTGCGTCCTCTATGTCTTCTCCACGCCTCCCTTTTCACTTACCTTGTGTCCTTGGCCTCTTTCTCCTTTCTCACTCCTTTCTGCAGGCGGTCAGCAAAAATTTGGTTGTGGCCAAACCTCCAGCGGGCGGCACTTCCGTTGCTGTCGCATATTTCGCCAGCGGGCAGCAATAGAGCATTTTGGGCAAGCGCTCGGCAAATAACTCCCTTCAGCGAGCGCTGGCCAAACTTTCAGCAAGCGCTCAACTTTTCTCTTAAATTTGGTCAATATTCACACCTTATCGTCTTCATCTATTTTCCGCTTACATGTAAGTAGAAGTGCCGCAAAAAGTCGAGGACCACCAGGAACTGCTGATAACCGTCTGGCCGTTGCTACTCTTCCATGACTTCGAGCATATTCAACTCTTAAAATTGAAAATTTTATACCAATGTTTTCGTTACCACAGCATCCGTTGCAGAAAAACGAGCGTACCCATAAGAATGAAGAAAATTAATCTTCAAAGATTTGACATCGTACTTAAAAGGGCACTGAAATACACGATTGATTATTTCGAATGACTGATTTGATCGACACGCAATGTTCGACGGCGCTTGGCTCCTCGTTTCAAGGGCATCATCCAGATAATTTTCCATTGCATCTGTACGCCTCTACAAGCCGCAACAGTAATAGAAGAAAAACATAAACATAATATCTTGAAGAGGAAACCTCAATTTAATTCCAATGAACTACTGGAAATCAAACTGTTATGTAGAGTTTTCCACCTCAAATAAGCCACATGCAGCATGAACTTAACACTGTCGGCGATATGAGCACCGCACTTTCCCACTTGCAAAAAAACCCCGCACTTACCTAGGGTGCAGCAATAATGATAAGCCTTGCTTATGTGTCACAGAAGAATTGAGAGCGAAAAAGTGAGGCCTTCCTTGGAAGTTGAGTGGAAAATGAAGCTAACGCTAGAGAAATTGCTGTGATAGAGCTCAGGATTTCGGCAGCAATACAGAATGAACTCATCGTCAGTAAGAACTGTAGTTGATTGAAGTTGTACTTGTTCAAACATGCGCCCGCGGTCGGGACAAAATCGCTCCAAAATCGGGACAAAACTAAAATGATGACTCCCGCCGGTGCACAGGAATTCGGTGCGACTACCTATCATTCATTCTGGGACTAGGAGACGCGAGACCTGTGAGCTTTGCACATATTGTCTAAACAAACTTAATCGTACACTTAACAGGTTTATACTTGTCATTTATCTCGCCAACGCTTATTCACTCTTTGGAAACAGGAAAGAGCAAACTGAAACATGTTAAAACAATGTCCGCAATGCGGTCGCTCGTCTCCTAGTCGTAGAATAGATGATATTTTGTGGGCGATCTCTTGCGGGAGTCAATGGCGAGTGTCTGAGATCTGATCCAGCAAATACAATTGAGGAACTCGGACTTGAACGAGCCGACCAAGTGGCAAAAGCAGAAAAGCAAAATGAGGATTGCCAAAAGGAGATAGATCAGCTCAAGAAAGAAGCTAAGCCAGTAGGAGGAGACAGGATAGGTTACAGATGGATCCAAATCGAGAAAGCTGCATGAAGGAACGAGGATGATCAAAAGGAGATAGTTTTTCTTAGAAGAAATAAAATTCAGCGATGACAAATTAAAAGTCGCTTAATTAGGTGTTAAGTAGCAATTGCCGCCCGTCCCCACTCTACATCTGGGTCGGCGATCGCCATGAAAGGCAAACGGTCTGGTAAGTTTTTTCTTGTGTTTCAAAAGGAAGAAAAAAAAAGAAACCATGTTCATTGAATCAATCCCACCTAGGCGGAGATAACAGTCGATGTCAGGTTGAACACGGAATCCATGTCAGAATTGTCTTATGCCCTGCGCCCAACGTCAGCAAAGTCTCTATAAAGGCCGATCCCCACGCTATCCTTGGCGCTGCAAAACACATCAAGTATAGGCGACTCATAGTACGCAAAGACTGCGGACGTAACGAGCGCTCTTTCCTCTTATCATCTGTGTCCCTCCCAGAACATTTTGGCCACGCCAATACGTTGTGGCATGTTGCAACATGTTGTTGCCACGTCGCTAACATGTTAGCTGCACGTGGCAGATCTGAGACGCGGACCAAGGGTAGCAGCAACTGTGGAGGGGACGATAAGAACCAGTGGCGTACAAAGGAGGGGAGGGGGAGGGGCGGAGGGGGGTAAGGAGGGAGAATGGGTCGCGAAATTTTTGAAAGTTACTTAAATGTGTTATAAAAATGTGCAAGCGACTTGTTTTTACTTGTAAATAATTGACAATTTTTAAAAATTTTTAAAAATTCAAATTAGCATTGTAAAGATTTTTTTCGGGGGCTGGCTGCTCTTTTTCTAAAATTTGGGATCAGCGGGCCGCAAAAACTTTGGAAAGCATCCCAAAAAATTTTTCGAAGTGCGTGGCTAACGCCACGCACCTTCATCCGAAATTTTTTTTCGCGCCCCCCTCGAGCGGAAATCCTAGGTACGCTGCTGATAAGAACGAAAACAGCAAGTGACGATCAGTACTGGACGACACGCATGGAGTGGAGAATCGTTGATTTGAAGAAATCGAACAACTATTTCTCCTGAAAAGGATGGCTAGTGAATCGAAAACACGACTGAAGCAGATGTTCTTGCAGCTAACGCAGAACACTGCGCTCGTGAAGGCCAACACTTACGAGGCCACAAGCTTTCACACCTCTAAAGAAGTCTGATGCTCCTGCTGCGCTAGCCGACTTCTCAGCGTTTTCATCGCGACTACCGTGTTTCAGCTACGATTCAAGCAGAGGCTGCACTTTCGAAAACTGGCTCTCCAGATCTGAAGAGAATGTTGCAACGTCCATGCCAGAAATGAACCGCCGTGCTCGCTTGTCTGCGAGACTGGACAACGGCTTGCGCGAAGCTGAAAAACACCTACCACCGAAATTATTGCTGGTGTTGTCAGTTCGAGAACTCACAAAGGACTGTTATCACTGTTCGAGATAGACGAAACTGTTTCGACCCATGGAAATGCTTGCACTCGAGAAGAATCCCGCAGGGGACTTTGATTCATATGCCTCTCTATTCAGTAGGATGCTGATCGGCACCAAAGCTGACGAAATAAAGGAGTATTCATCGGAATGGTTATCATTCGTCCTGGATTTGCAATCATCTTGCGATTTGCCAATATGTGTCCGGCACTGACGTGAGCAAGCTGGACGCTAAGGCAGATGCTTAGAAGCTGCAAGATTTGACATGTAAAACGGATAACAGTCCGTGCAGAAGGACACTGCCCTCACAGGATCTGGCCATCGGAAGAAGAAGAACCGTCGACTAAAGCAGCAACGTACCGAACGCCCATCTGATGGCAAAGTCTTGGACGTTCCCGCCGGGAGGACATG